ATAAAATATAATTAGAATTATGTTTATCAATTTCATAAAATATTATCAATTTAACAAACCGGGTTAATTTAAATTGAATAAATGTTGATTGAATCAATTAAAGTATAGTTAATTTAACTCATATATTCTTGTTAATAATTAATCAAAACAATTTGTTAATCTTACTGTTTTAATTTCTTGCTGTGTGTGTACACGATTAGTAGTCGAAATAATGCATCGATTTTCAACTTCAGTAACTTTTTCGATGGGAAAGTGAATCTAGTTGGTACTTTTGGGAGGTCAAAATTTAAAATTCACAATAGTTTTCACAAGCGACAAGATTAACAAAAGAAAAATTAAGGAAAAACGGGAATTTTTACTCAAAATCGATTTTTCACAAAATTGAATTTGGTTTTTGGTGTAACTTTAAAACAAATGACCTTAGACACTTGAAATTTTAACTGGTTGTTTATATTTGCATTTTCTATATACTATAACATTTTCGGTCAAATTTAATACTATCCATTATACAGTGACATACTTGTAACCTACTGTACAGCAGAGCGATACCCACTTGCCCACCTTTTTTTTTATATTAATATTAATGAACTGTAATAAAAATTAAGGTGGATATGAATAAGAATGAAAATTAACCTAACCTTTCATTTGCATTACCTGTTCCTGTAGGAAGAAGTATTATTCGTAGTAGGTGATTTGATTCCCAAGACCGACTTTATGTATTAGTTGATTCCCTGGTCATTACATATTAGGTATGTAAGAGTTGATTCCTATCATATATCATAGTATACTAGCAATCTCATTACCAGATACCAATTTTAAAAAACAATGTGTTATACATTTTTACCAAAATTACTAAATTTTTTAATAATAATTTTTTCCTAATTACTAATTTTTTTAATAATAATTTCTTACCTACTAAATTTTTTATCTAATAATTTTTTAACAAAAAATTAAATGATTTTCAAAATATGAAAAAACTAAAAAGAACAACATTTTTGAAAAACTTTTCTTTCTCATGGTGTTGCTTGGGTTAAGCTTAAGTCTAATAAGCTTAATATTTGACTAAATATTGATAATAATATATAATGACTAGGGAATCAACTCGTACATACCTGTTGATTACCCGGGAATCAACTCGTAGCAGCCGTATTTTTGAGGGGGGTCGTGAATCCTATAGCCTAGAGAGTTAATTTGTCGATAGAGATAAATAATTTGATGATTCAATTTCTTACCTGTCTCGAACCCTGAAACTCTTTTCTCGCTCTGCCACACACCAAAGATGAATATCCTCAGAGCTCAGGAAATGCAGAGGAAATAGGAATCGTATACTGGTTATATTTTAATCTCATTTAAATTTGATAAAAGCTTAAGGGGAACGCAGCAGACGTATTTTTCATGCGTTTTAGACCAATAAGCGGTAGTAAATTACACATACTTCGGAATGTCCGATTTTAATTTTTTATACATGTATGAACTCTTTGAAAAAATATCTAAGGTATTTAGGAAGTCGATTTTCAATTTTCAATTTTAAAGGACCTTAAAATAACGGTTTTTTTTTCAAAAATCTCATGAAATAATTGCATTACATTTGTATTTATTTTTTGCACATATAATTTTAAATCAAAAAAGTGATTCCTAAAAAGCATAGTCTAGAAGCTTATAAATTCATCCATATTTTCAAAATTACAATCGGACTTCTGCAAAATTTACAGAATAAAAAAAGTGATATACATAATAATTTCTAAAATTGGTAAAATAATGTGGTAAATATTTTGGAAAAGAAATTTTTTTTTTACTTTTTTCTTTGGTTACATGGTTTTAGAATTAATTGATTTAAAGCGGGTTCACACTACACCGTGTCGTGTAATATAATCACGGTTACCTCAGTTACCAAACGATACCGAAATACCGAATAGTTGAATATATTCAACTTTTGACCGTGTGGTTACATTAAGTATGAACCCGGCTTTATCTGCACATAAATGTAATCAAAAGTCAAAAGTTGAATATATTCAACTATGCGGTATCGTTTGGTAACTGTGGTAACCGTGATTATTTTACACGACACGGTGTAGTGTGAACCCCCCTTTAGTATATGAACGTGAGTTTCCTTTTCCTATCGGGGATGGTTTGTAATACTACTTTTTTAAATGGTTTATTTGTATAAAAAAGTCAAGTAATGTAATAGTTAATAACTATAAAATAACAAAGTGATTCTCTTGTAGACTTGTGTAGTATAATGTAATTGTACATTTTTGAGAATTGCAGCGAAAGCTGAGTAGTGAGTAGGTAATATAATAGTAAAAAATAACGCGCGCAATTGATCATAATATATTGTCATTTTTATAGCATTTTAATTATACGTAGTTCTGGGAATTCGTAATAATGTCAACCGATATAGTCCGACGCACACGATAATGGATTATTGGATTACCCACACTAATGTTCATTTACTACTCACACATAGACATAGCCCAAATGTTCATGTTATGTGAATTGCCTAAATATTACTCCTTAAAACATGATACGCTGGAGCCCCTTAAAAGACACACGCGCGTAGAAATGAGCAAAAATAACGATGTATCCACAGTGGACAAAGAAACCTGAAACACTCTGCTCCCGATGATGCGTACTTGTAGGGGCTCATGGGTCTTATGGCTTATGCTATTTTTTGAAGGTCAAATCGTTCCTAGCTTGTTATATTTTATTATATTTTATCTTATAATTTTATAATCGTCATTACAGCTAAAGATTATTTTAATGTAAATAGTACATCCGTGGGAAATAGTACTTTGTACATAATGTGAATGGGTAATTCTAATAAAATAAATAATAGTGTTGATATATGCTCATATTATAATAGGTATATTGGTATTATATCAGGACAATGAATTAAAAAAAAAAATTATACAATTCTCCTTTTCGTGTCACACCCACACACACACACACATATATGTTCTATAGTATATTAGTATTGTAAGTAATGAATAAAAGTAAAATTGTTTGTACCTATATAGGCTAAATTTTTTTTTTAAACATTTTTATGTGCGTCCCACATACTAAACTACCTATTCAATATAGGTATTCGGCCCAGTCATTAGTTTATTAGTTTGAGTTTGACATACCTACAGTACATTTTTGCCGGTTATGCTTATTGTGCTTTTTTTTAGATTCCAAGCAGAGAACTGAATGTATTGATTTTACAATGATGTGTGTTTTTTTTTTATTTTTTATTTTTAATTTTTTCTTGTGTCTGTCGTCACCTTTTAGGACAATAAAAGTGCTTGGATTTTCTAATTTCTTCAACAGTAGCTTTTCGATAGGAAAGTAAATCTAGTTGCCAGTTGGTACTTTGGGGGGTCAAAAGTGAAAATTTCCCAGTAGTTTTCAAAAGCAGCGTGAAAAATAAAATAAATATTAAGGAAAAACGGGAATTTTTTCAATAAAATCTGTTTTCGAAAAAATCGTTTTTGGTTTTTGGTGCAACTCTTAAGCAAATGACCGTAGGTACATGAAATTTTGACCGAATATTTATATTAGCATTTTCTATACACGATAACATTTTCAAAATGTTTTGATTTATTTTGAACTGTTTAGGCACATTTTCATTTTCCATTTTTTTAAATTTTTTTTCTAAAAATATCAATATAATTTTATTTGTTGGTTAAAAAAGCTTGAAAATTTAATACAAGGCTCCTACTATATTGTTATAATGGCATATTAAAAATATTAAAAATCCTTAGTCCCAGTTTTTTTTTAATAAGCATTTAAAGTTCAAAAATTTACAAAATATGGGAAAATCACGAAAATTAGCAAATTATTTTCAGTTAAGAATTCGTAAAAATTTTTCTTTTTAAACCTAAAGTCTTAAAATGTAATACAAGATTCCTTATAAGACAATCTACCTTTATCAAAAAAAAAAATGTCTATAAGAAAGTCAAATTAAATTTTTATGAGCGGTTTGAAATTCAAATTTTTACAACATTGGTATTCACTCGATTTCTCATGTAGCGATTTGACGGACATTTTCAGTTTCCAATTTTTTTAGTTTTTTATTCTATAAATATCAATAAAGTTTTATCTGTGGGGCCAAAAAGTTTAAAAATGTAATTCAAGGCTCCTGATTTATTGTTACAATATCAGTTGAAAAATATTAAAAATACACATTCACAATTTTTTTTTATATGCATTTAAAGATCGAATTTTGACAACATTTATCAAATTTAAAATTGAATAATTATTTTGTAGTGAAAAATGTATAAAATGTTCAACTTTTATATCTAAGGATTGAAAATTTAAAACAAGATTCCACGTATGTAGTTAATACTGTTCCCAAAAAATCTAAAAAAATACATAGGCACAGTTTATTTTTATAGTCATTTTAAGATCAAATTTGGACGAAATTACATATTAAAAAACCTAGAATAACTATTTTAGTTATTTTGTTGTGATTGTATAATATTATTCGTGGGTACTTGAAACTTCTAAAGTATACTATTATATATCTATGATAATATCAGAGTTTGTTTTTGATGTATAACGTGTTATAAGCAGTGGCGCCGATCCATTTATAAACATCTGGGGTAAAACCAAAAACCTATTTTATACCCACCCACCCAAAAAAAATTTCTCACTACGCTCGACAGTACAGGCATAATAATTTAATTATACAATTTATTTTATTTTAGGTATAAGAAACATTTTTTTTTATACTATACTGTACATAAAAATATAAAAAACATAGTTCAGAAATTAATATCTTACCTACGTCGTAGGTGGTAGGATAACTGACAAATACTTAACTACAATAAAAAAATTAAACAACTAACTGCTGCTATGTATAATATTAAATATGAAGTACTAAGTTGTTATTGTATTTTGGTATGCTCCAGTAATTTTTAAGTAAATATTTAATAAATACCTATGTATTTCTCAAAATAGTAAAAATAAAAATTATATGTAATACAAAAATGATTATAAATAAAATATATATAAATAAATTAAGTTAATATTTTTAACAGTTTATTACTGTTTTTAGCAAAATTATTAATCACATTGTCTGTATTAATTGGAACATCCTGTTCGCATGCAATGCGCATAAGTCCCTCCAATCTCGACTCAGCCATTGTAGACCGCAATCTTGTTTTTATAATTTTAAGCTTCGAGAAACTACGTTCAGTAGAAGCACTGGACACAGGTAGCGTCACAGCGATTTTTAATAACATATAAATATTAGGCAGTGTAAACCTTATATTTGAGCTGCAAAATAATTTAAACATATATATAAGGGAACTGCTGTTTGTACATTCTTCGATGGGACATTGAGAAATTAATTCTTCATCAGACTCGGAAATGTGCGATTCAAAATCTGAAGAATTGGTTGATTCATTATCCTCATCCTTATGAAGATATTTAGTTAAATTTATTGTTTTTTCTAAATTTGAAAAACAATCAATAAGCCATAAATATTCTGTATTTAATGCTTCTGCATTTAAAAATGTTGAATATATCGACGCTATGCCTTCAAATGCATCACAAGGTATTTTGTTAGTATCCATTTTTATTTCTAAAATTCTTTTTTTTGTAAGAAGGGATAAATCTTTAAAAATAGATATAGTGTCATTGTTAAATTTCTGATCAATCTGACTGCATATGATATCAAGCACCGTGTAAAAAGTGTGATATTTAAAATTAGTCAGAGGGTCAGATGTTGGTTCATCGGTTGCTTTCTCCCCGGACATTATTTTTCTTTTTCTTGACCGTTTTTGTGGTAACGGAGTAAAATTTTCATCCAGATGATTTTGAATAAATTGCTTCACTTCGATGACAATTGAATTAAATTCATTGCGAATATTTAATAATTGACCTCTTTTTGATGTTATCATTGATGATGCAGTGATAAGATCTATATCAATCGCTTGAAATGTTTTGCTTAATGGATCTAGTACAGAAAATATTTTTTTAAATAAAAAACATGTATAAAGAAATCTTTCAGATTGAAAATATGAAAGAAATGACGATGCATCTGATGAAGCTTCTGATTTCCAAAGATCTTCCAGTGTATCAACTAAGGATGCCCAAGTCAGTAAAACTGTATTAAGAGCTGTAGAATGGCTACTCCACCTAGTAGTAGTTACACGTTTCAAACGACGAACCGGCAAGTTAGGGTTTCGGATTTTTTGATTTTGTTCAAAAAGGAATACACGGTTTTTACTGCTACATACAAAGTCAAAAACTCTTCCTAAAATTCCAAAAAAATCAACTGCTTCAAGGCAACTTGCAACACCTTGTTCAACAACCAAATTTAAACGGTGAGCCCAACACCAAATATAAACTGCATGAGGATTTTCACTTTTTACTTTTGCCTGTAAACTATTGTACTCACCCCTCATATTGGCGGCACCGTCATATGATTGACCTATTAGGTTTTTTTTCCAATTAAGATTGGTTTTATTGAAAACATTAAGGAAAATATTAAATAGTGTTTCACTTTTAGTAGAGGCAGTAGAACACATTGCGAGTAAACGTTCATATATCATACCATTACTTTCATCAACAAAACGCACTATGAAAGAAACTTGTTCTTGTCTTGAGATGTCAAATGTTTTATCAATAGATATGCTGAAAACACAAGCAGTTTCAACTTTTTGTGTGATTGAATTGAAAATTGAATTTGAAATAGCATCGATTAACTGGTTTTGTCGTTGCCAGGATATTAAAGATGTAACAGATTTCCCCTTCTTTTTTAAACAAGTAATGTAAGACGATAATACAGGTGAATATTCAGCTAATAAAATAACCATATCTTTAAAGTTTCCACGAATAGAATCCGTCCACTTTTCTTTATGACCTCTAAATGCAAGTCCATGTTTAGCTAAAAATAGCGAAATATCTATTAGTTGTTTTACAACTACTCTGTTGGTTTGAACCTCCATTTTCTTTTTTTCTTCTAACGCTGGTAATAATGGTGAACAATGTTCATGTATAGTAGCATCAATTGAGGCGGCTATGTGTATAGTTGAAGTTTCATGGGAAGTTAATAAATGGTTACCATCTTTCCAACGAGAAGTACCATCAATAGTCCATGCCTTCTTAGGAGATTTACCAAACAACATACAATAAATGCAAAATATTTTATCAGCTGATATTGAATACGATAACCATTTACGGAATCCCATTGACCCATCAGGCAAAGTTTTAGTGTACCATTGAGCACGGAAACTGTATTTGTTTGTTCTTGGGAATTGTCGGAGTGGCATCTGCTGAGTAGTTGGTTGACAAGGACCCAAACATAAAATATACTTCTTCTGTTCAAAACTTAATTTTGTAATGGTATTAGAAAATCTTACAGGATCATTATCTACCATTGAGTCAACTTGTCCTATTACTCCTATTATCACAATAGTTAATTATTTATAGTTGGATCAGGAAACTATAATAAATTTACATTTTACTCAATTATTACCTGCCGATGAAGCCAATTCACAGTTTACTATATTTTTCTCAGGAGAAAAAAAACTAGGAATAGTATCTGTGACATTAGTTTGTCCCAAATCCTCATCTTGATTTTCAACATCAACAGTAGAAACACCAATATCTTAAAAAAAAAAAAAAAATTAAGATCAGAAAACTATAATTTATATTATACTAAATTATTACCTGCCGATGAAGCCAATTCACAGTTTACTATATTTTCCTCAGGAGGAAAAAAACTAGGAATAATATGTGTAGTATCTGTGACATTCATTTGTCCCAAATACTCGGCTTGGTTTTCAATATCAACAGTAGAAACACCAATATCTTAAAAAAAAAAAATTTAAGATCAAAAAACTATAATTTATATTATACTAAATTATTACCTGCCGATGAAGCCAATTCACAGTTTGCTATATTTTCCTCAGGAGGAAAAAAACTAGGAATAATATGTGTAGTATCTGTGACATTCATTTTTCCCAAATCCTCAGCTTGGTTTTCAATATCAACAGTAGGAACACCAATATCTTAAAAAAAAAAAATTTAAGATCAAAAAACTATAATTTATATTATACTAAATTATTACCTGCCGATGAAGCCAATTCACAGTTTGCTATATTTTCCTCAGGAGGAAAAAAACTAGGAATAATATGTGTAGTATCTGTGACATTCATTTTTCCCAAATCCTCAGCTTGGTTTTCAATATCAACAGTAGGAACACCAATATCTTAAAAAAAAAAAAAATTTAGGATCAGAAAACTATAATTTATATTATACTATAAATTATTACCTGCCGATGAAGCCAATTCACAGTTAACTATATTTTCCTCAGGAGGAAAAAAACTAGGAATGATATGTGTAGTATCTGTGACATTCATTTGTCCCAAATCCTCGGCTTGGTTTTCAATATAAACAGTAGAAACACCAATATCTTAAAAAAAAAAAATTTAAGATCAAAAAACTATAATTTATATTATACTAAATTATTACCTGCCGATGAAGCCAATTCACAGTTTACTATATTTTCCTCAGGAGGAAAAAAACTAGGAATAATATGTGTAGTATCTGGGACATTCATTTGTCCCAAATCCTCAGCTTGGTTTTCAATATCAACAATAGAAACACCAATATCTTAAATAAAAAAAAATTCAATATTGTCAAATGTGATGCGTTTTGCAATACATTTAGTAGAAGTTTCAAGTTGTTGATATTTATTTTAAGTTTGTTATAAAATGATATTTTATTATGCAATACAGGGAGTATTAGAATTAATTTTAAAGCTGGAAGTGTTAATTTTTTTTTTTTTTTAAAGTTTAATTGTTTATTAAGATTTGTATTTATAACTAATTAAAAATTTGTTGATATTAGTTTTTAATTTGTTATAAATTGGTATTTTTTATGCAATATAAGGAGTATTCATCTTTTAAATACAAACAAATTGGGTAACTGCACCAAAACAAAAAAATTGTAAAATTTTTTAATAATAAAAAATAAAGTAATTTGAATATGCCTATATGTTTCTTAGATACCCAAAAGTATTCAATAAAAGTTTCAAAGTCCTAACTCAAATACTTTTTTTATATACAGAAATAATCAAATGATATACAAAATTTGGTCCAAAGTCACCCCATGTTACGGTGCATAATAAATAATAAGTACTTTATAACCACTAATCATAATTATTTGAACTGATATTACTTACAATAATAAAATAATTATATTCTTTTGACATTAAAATTAATTTGTTAACAGTTAAAAAACCGATATCACTCTAATACTCTATCAGACTTATTTAGTAAAAGGTTTGGATTAGTCAGTAGTCTAAACATATAGGTACCTAATAATTAATAAGTATATCTTATTCTCAAGCTTTAGATACCTTTATATTTATTATCATTTCAAAATACTGAAAATAGTATATCTATGTGTATTTTTAAAAGTAATTCTAAGTTAAAACTAGATAATTACTAAATTGTATTTATTAATATTAGTAAACACTTACCTTTGGAACATGATGGTTTAGAAAAATACTTGGTAATTTTTATTTTTTCAGTTTTTTCAGTCATTTTAATTTTTTTACAACTTTTAATATGACGCGTCCAATTAGTAGTATTTAAATTCCCCTTTCTTTTTCCACATACACACATACTCGTATCCATAATAGTTAATAATTAATAAAAATAAATTGTTTTATTAAAAAATAAAAACTAATTAATACACTTGTATATTAATAATTATATACTTATATTACTCAATAACGTGGTAGTACAAAAATATAAAAAATACATCACATTCACATCAAGACTAGCGCTAAGCTCATAATATTGATAGACCGATAGACGTCAATAATTGATAATGGGTAATCGTCTATCTATTCAATAATGTTCGAGTGACGACTAATAACAATAAAAGTAGATATAAATAGCACACAACGGTAAAATTTCCCAAGCAGCCGCCCGCCTGACGCCTGTATGATAACGTTTGGATGGATATCGGCAATACTGAGAATCCGAATACTGCCGATTAAGCTACGGTTTATCATGTTTATCTGTTTTAGCGTGGTGACACAAAGCTTGTATAAATAATATAAATATTATACTACATTGACGACCTAAAATCTAGGTATAGGCGTATACGGTATACCTTATTTTAGTTGTCCATTATGTACAGGTCAGCCACCCACCCACCCACCCATTAAACCACTGGGGTATTTACCCCACTAGATAGTCGTGTTCGGCGCCACTGGTTATAAGTACCTAATGGATATTGTGATATGATTAATTTGGAATTTATTATAGATACCTATTATATGTCAATTTTTTTTAATACCATAGATAAGTAATAATATGTCTTATACCTAGACTGACATATCGTCTCCGCTCAGAATCGTTTTTCTTATACAATGATATTATATCATTGAATTCAAATGTAATACTATCTATTATACAGTAACCCACTTATAACCTACTGTACAGCAGAGCACTTTTTTTAACTGTTGTGTGTCATAACCGTTTTGGGGCAGTAAAACTGCTTCGATTATCTTCAACAGTATCTTGTTCGATGGGAAAGTGAATCTAGTTGGTGCATTTATAAGGGTGAAATTTTAAAATTCCTAATAGTTTTCAAAAAAATTAAGGAAAAACGGGAATTTTTACGCAAAATTGGTTTTTGACGAATTCGATTATGGTTTCTTGTGTAACTTTATATTTTGCATTTTATATACCTGATAAAATGTATTTGTTTGAACTGTTTAGGAACATTTTCTGTTTCTAATTTTATTAGCCTTTTAGATTCTGAGTGGAACGATTAATATATTGATTTTACAATGATGTGTGTTTTTTTTGTTTATTGTTTTGTGTATTTTGTTTTGTTATTTTTGTGTCCGTCACCACCTTTTAGGACAGTAAAAGTGCATAGATTTTCTTCAACAATATCTTTTCTGATAGAAAAGTGAATCTAGTTGGTATTTTGGGGGGTCAAAAGCAATAACTTCCCAGTAGTTTTCAAAAGCGCAGTGATAAACAAAAGAAAAATTAAGGAAAAACGGGAATTTGTACGCAAAGTCTGTTTTTGGAAAAATCGATTTTGGGTTTTAGGGCAACTCTTAAACAAATGACCTTAGGTACATGAAATTTTGACCGAATATTTATATTAGCATTTTCTATACACCATAACATCTTCCAAATATTTTGACTTATTTTGAGCTCTTAACAGACATTTTCAGTTTCCATTTTTTTTTAGTTTTTTTCCTATAAATATCAATAAGATTTTATTTGTTGGGTACAAAAGCTTAAAAATGTAATAGAAGGCTCCTAATGTACTGTTTCAAACACAGATGAAAAATATTAAAAATCCTTTTTTTTTTTTTAATTTTTAATTTTTGTTTCTGTGTACACGATTAGTAGTCGAAATAATGCTTCGATTTTCAACTTCAGTATCTTGTACAATGAAAAAAAGGAATCTAGTTGATGGAAAAATCACGAAAATTATCAAATTATTTTGAGTTAAGAATTCATAAATATTATTCTTTTTAAATCTAAGATATGGAAATCTAATTCAAGATTATAAGTTTGAATACCTTTATCAAAAAAAAAAAAAGTCCTTAAGAAAGTCAAACTTTATTTTTATGAGCGTTTGAAATTCAAGTTTTTACAACATTGGACTTTCACTCGTCACTGAAGAAGTTGATTTTTATTTACATATGCCAATATAATATTATATTTTAATAGGTACTCTGCTATACTATATTTAACATTTTTAATAATTAATGAAAATGAAAATGTTCCTATTTTAAATACTGTAATGAGATTGGAGAACCTGTTATATTTAGATAATTCAGTGAGGGTTTTCAGAGCCCTGTGAATTATATTTTAACCGTTACTCGGAAGGTTCAGGAAAGGTAGATTAAATATTAAGTTCTAGTTGATATATTTGTATTATTACAGGATACTCAAGAGTGCCCATCAATCACAGGGGCGGCTTCAAGGGGGGGCCCTAGGGGCCGAGGCCCCCTCCCAGCCCATATTTATAAAAAAATATAATATGTTGTTAAAAAAAAATTACAAACAAAAATAGCATATTATTATAATATCGACTATCATACGCACAAGTTATGTAGATAGAGCCATAGAGGTATGATGGTATATATTTTGTGTGTTTTGTGGATGCTTATAGGTCTATAAGGTCAACAGATATATCAGGTTCTGGAGAAACCAAACTTACTGGACAGGCTCTTGGTCACATTGTTTTAGATATTTTAGCTAAAAATTTGGCACTTGATTTAAAATGTTGTGTTGGAGTGGCAACGGATGGTTGTGCTGTAATGGTGTCTGAAGATTATGGAGCAGTTACTACAATAAAAAAAGAGTGTTCTATTGCAGTTTACTGTAATTGCTTTAACCATGCATTGAATAATTCGTTGGCACAGACTTCTAAAATTGTACCCATAAGAAATACAATAGGAACTCTAAAAGAAATAATTGCATTTTTATGCATCAGCAAAAAGGCATTTGGTATTAGAAAATATTTCTGCAAAACAACTGACAGGACTGTGTCAAACAAGATGGGTAGAGATGCATGATGGTGTTCTACAATTTAAATCTGCTCTTCCAAAGGTAAATATTTTCTTATGAAGTAAAGTTTTATATAAAATATAGTATTTAGCACATTTTAATAATTTTATTTAAAATTATAATTTGTTACAGGTTATTGAAGCGCTTACAGCAATTTCCAAGTGGGCTGATTGAAACTCATCTTCAAAAGCATCTATATTATTAGCAGCTATAAGCAACAGTGATTTTATAATTTCGCTTTTATCAACTGCTGATATTTTAAAATTTACCCTGCCTGTATCTAGACTTCTACAATCACCATCTTTAGATTTAGCTAATGCTTCTTCTGCAATAGAAGGAGTTAAGGAAATATTTCAAGAAAAACGAACAATGTGTGTTGGTGAATTTCATACAATTTTCTTGAACGCTAGTACTTAGTAGTTTAGCAGAAGAAATTGGATGTGATATTAAAATGCCAAGAATTGCAAAAACTCAAATACATCGTGATAACTACCCTGCAACAGACGCTGAACAATTTTACTTGCGTAGCACTTATGTTCCATTATTGGACACTATTAAATCAGATATAACCAACAGGTTATCAACAAAGACATTGGAAGCATTTGATTTGCGTTTACTTATACCAAATATTACTGTTAAACTAAATGACAATGATGGTTGGGACCAACAAAAAATATCTAAGAGAATCATTGCAGTAGCAAAAAAGTTTTCACCTCTTTTCACTGTTTCCGAAAATGTAATGGTTGATATGTTAGAAGGTACTATTATAATTTTTTAATAATACAATTTAATTATAATTATTAATAGTAAGTAGGATTGACGTGACATAACTTCTATTATTTATTATAGGTGAAATTTGTCTGTGGCTTCACAAATGGAAACATCAACCGATTACAGAACGTCCATGTACAGCTTTGGAATCATACATGCACTGTGATGAAGATATGTTTTCAACTATTAGGAAATTATTGCAAGTATTAGCAACTCTACCAGTTAGTGTGGCCTCTGCCGAAAGGAGTTTCTCCACACTTCGGAGACTTAAAACCTGGCTTCGTTCAAGGATGACCGAAGATAGACTATCATCATTATGTCTAATTAATGTACATAATAAAATAGATCTTCTAGATCTTCTAGATCATATTATTGATAATTTTGCCAATTCTAAAAATAGACGACTTGAATTTGTGTTATAAAAATTGTTGTTTTCTTTTTGTTAAAAAGTCTTGTGAAATTATAACTTGGCCCCCTCCCAACCAAGACTCTGGAGCCGCCCCTGATCAATCAGAACCTAGGGGGTGATAATATCATAAAAAAATAACTAAGAACCAACCAAATTGATTTTATTAAATAACAGAAAATAAATATACAACATATTATATAAACAATGTAGTATGTACCTATGTTATATATCATGTATTATAATATCATCAGTAAAAATAGTTTATTAATTACAATCACAAAAAATTACAATCATTTTACATTTGTCTAGAGGGGTGACATGTCACCTCCTTGCACCCTCTAATGGCCGCTCTTAACAATATCCATTAAATATACAATTCTTATTAAATATAAAATATCGAAAGACTTACTAACAGCATGGTCATCTGGTGTTCCTTAGTGGCGGGGGCTGCATCCGCAACGAACGAACTTAACTCTTTGAGGGGCCGTGGTTAGTATGCTAACCACTTTTTTTTTTACCGTTCAGGTGCGGTGGTTACTATTTTAACCACTTTTAAAATTATTTTTAATATTTTTTTGATGATGGTCAGCATACCAATCACCTTATTATCATCTTATACATTCATCAAACAATATCACTGCCGCTGGTCTGATATCATTTCTCGCGTTTTTCATCATTTATTATCATTATCGATATTTTGATATACGTACTAAATGTTATGGTAAAGAGATATATTGCCCACATGGGTCTTTTTTCTAAAGGAAATTTTCGCCCCTCAAAGAGTTAACATGGTATTTCTTATATATTATGTTAACAATTGTATGTGTATATGTGTACCCGGATAACTATACTATGTATACAGCCTTCTCTTTATTATTACTATTTATGTTTATACTTGTTTATACTCTTTATACTTCACAGTATATCATGTAACAAGAACACACATAATATGTGATCTGCTACATTACCCCCTCACTTAAAAATTAAGAAAAAAAACATACATGAATCATTAAAAAATGTTATCCCAAAAGAATCATTCAATGATATTTAATAAAAAATAAACAATACATATTGTTAGTCTATTCTACAATATGATATAACTACCCGGGATAGTTTAGGAATTGTAGCAAGTAATAAGATACAGAATGCTCAAAAAGGCATTATAATGATAATTTTAAATAAACCCAAATCATATATTATCTAATATTTATATCCCCCTGTTAAACTAATTGAAGAATTTAAAGGTTTCACTGTTAAACAACTATTTTACAGAAATGCTCTATATTTTACATATAAATTTAATTGAATACATTTTAAAACAATATATTATAATAGGTAGGTACACGTCAAAAAATTGTTTAGATATTTCTACCGTCTGAACTTTACAATCAACCCGAAGTTTTTCGCATGTAGCCATGTAGGTATTAACCTAATAGGTAAAGTTCCATTACAAATTATTGACTATAAATATTATATTAAATACAAGCAGTCTATTTAAATATGGTAGGGGGGATGGGGGCACAATGAGACACGGGGCACAGTGAGACAAGCTAAATAGATAACAGAGGAATACAATCTAGTGGATCATACCGATATGCAACGTTACGTTATGTTGATACAAAGATAATATTCTGTTATGGTTTGATTCTGATAACCCGTATCATGTTTATTAACATTTCCCACTATTTTGTTATCAAAACGAAACAATTTAGACGACGGGTTTTTTTTTGTGTCGCATAATTTATTTTAAAGGTACGTATTTATTTATATTATATTAATTAGAATAGAAAAATACATATTTTGAGATTTATTACACATATGCAACTATGAGTTAAGGTTATTTTTTTAAATATCAAACTTAAAATGAATGTGTGGGGCACTATGAGACTGGGCATAATGGGGCATAATGAGACACAGACGTTTTTGTCTTATTGTGCCCCAATGCCCCATTAATATTTTGCTGGAAATATTTAATACTTAAGTTAAATTTTTTTGAAATAGTAAGTAGGTATTATTTAATTTGTGTTTTTTTAGGACTAGTCATGGTATGATACAGGATGAGAAAAACCGCAAATGGTACATTTAGTGCAGAAGATATGGAAGAAGCAGTTAGTTTAGTTATAAATCAAAAATATTCTATCAGAGATGCTGCTAAATTAAAAAACTTAAAATTTCAAACTGTGCATAGGTGATTGTTATTATTAATATTATACCTAACTGAATATTTTTTAATGCTACCTAAGAACTTATTATTTTTTAAATTAGGTATGTGAAGAAAAAAAAAAAATATTGATGCTATTATGAAACGTAATATTCCTACAGAATTAGAACTTATACTAGTATAGTATTTGGTTAGCTGCGCTAAGATGTGCTATGGTGTTGGTTATGTTGAATGCCGTAAGTTTGCATATGAACTTTCTATAAAAAATAATTTGAGTGTACCTGATACTTGGAATAAAAGTAAAATGGCAGGGATTGAATAAATGCGAAGCTTTATGAAAAGAAATAGTAGCTTAGTCAGTTTACGTAAACAAGAAAGTTGTAGTTTATCTAGGGCGACTTCATTCAATAAACATAATGTTTCAATTTTTTTTAAGAACTTAGAAAAGATAATGAAAAGATGTCCCTCGTTTGCCGATGGTTCTAGAATTTTCAATCTCGATGAAACTGGTGTCACAACTATTCAATCACCAACAAGAGTTATTGGACAAAAAGGTGTTAAGCGATTGAATCAATTAACAAGTGGAGAGAGAGGTGTTTTAGTTACTGTGTGCTGTGTGATAAATGTATATGGAAATAAGGTACCGCCAACATTTATATTAATGTTTTATGTATAAAAATCTTTCAAGACTGAAAGTATTATATAAATGGTTTTTAATTTTATTGTTTATGTATTGTTTTTTTATTTATAAGGTATAAAAATCTTTCAAGACTGAAAGTATTATTTAAAAAGGTTTTTAATTATATTGTTTTTTTATTTATATTGTATTAAACATTTTAAATACTGAAAATATCAGATAAAAAGGTTTTTAATTATATTGTTTTTTTTTTTTTATAATGTAAAAAAAAATTTCAAGACTGAAAATATTATTTAAAAGGGTTTTTGATTATATTGTTTATGTATTGTTTTTTTTATTTATAAGGTATAAAAATCTTTCAAGACTGAAAGTATTATTTAAAAAGGTTTTTAATTATATTGTTTTTTTATTTATAATGTATTAAACATTTTAAATACTGAAAATATCAGATAAAAAGGTTTTTAATTATTTTATTTTTTATTTATAATGTATTAAACATTTTAAATACTGAAAATATCAGATAAAAAGGTTTTTAATTATATTGTTTTTTTTTTTTTTATAATGTAAAAAAAAATTCAAGACTGAAAATATTATTTAAAAAGGTTTTTGATTATATTGTTTATGTATTGTTTTTTTTATTTATAATGTATTAAACTTTTTCAAGACTGAAAAAATATATAAAGGCTTTTACCTACTGAGTATTAAGTTCTTAATTAATTTTAATATTACTTAATAAAGTTTTTATTTATCATATGATATTATGTTTTGTTCCCTTATTAAAAATATATTTACACCATTTTCAAGACTGGTACTATAATAATATTATAAAAAGAGGTTTTTAACCATCATATTTTTATATCAAGTCTTGTTTTTCTATTTAATAAGTTATTGTCTCAGTGTGACCCACCCCATCACTGGGGTACATTGAGACATATTGTTTTTTTTTAAAAAATAATTATAAAAAAGCAAATTTAAAAAACTACATAGAAACCAACATTATACCAAAATGTACATTAGTTTAGGAACAAAACAAAACAAGAACTGTTTTTATATAATTAAAATTGACTGAGAAACGTCCGTTAGAAAATGTAGTGTCTCGTTGTGCCCCACTCTCCCCTATTATTTTTAGTACCGTTCTTACATGTGTCGTAAATCGTAATTATTGTAGTAGGTATACAATGACGAACCGTCTCAGCTCACAATAGTTTTTCGTATACAATGATAATTGTTATTATATCATTGAATTCAAAATTAACACCATCCATTACAGTGATGAGTGACCTAAAATACACCTAATGTATGGTAATCGGTAAAAATACCCGAAGAATAAATAACCGTGGTCCGTGGAAATAATATCCAAAAGAAATACGTATACCGAAAAAAAAACGGGTGGTAGATTTCATATAATCGAATCCCTATATTTATTATTTATTATAAATTATGATATTATCTTAGATACCGCTAAATATAAAACTCGTTTTAGCGGAGGTGCCGAGAGCAAACGGTTTATTAAAAATCGTTTGGCTATAATTTTACCCAAAACAGTAGGAAAATTAATTAAAAATATAAATAATTAATATGAATCTGATGGTAGGGATTATACAGGTTGTCCCGTGAGGATTTACTCATTAGCCGTAGAGGGGGACTCGCCGCCCGGACAAAAACCAGTTTATTGACGTTTTACTAATAAACTAAAAAAATTATTAAAAATCATGAGATTAATGAAAATAAAATGTTAAAAGCTCAAAATGTTCACAAAAATATACTCTATAGAATGGCTATCTTCAATTTTTTCAAAAATAAAAAATAAAAAAATAATTTTTTTAACTTTTTTACTAAAAAATTTAATTTAATTAAAAAATAAAATATTTGTAGTGCTTACCTCTGCGAGTCTTAATAAAAAAACATAATTACGATATCTCCATTATTTCAGGAGATATCGCAATGAGTAAATCCTCACGGGACACCCTGTATACCTATTATATATGTTTGAATGGTTATAATTTATATTTTATAGTTATATTCGAATATTCATTATTCATGATAAAGCAGACTTGTGATTACAATTGAAAATATTAACTGGTAAAAATAAATTTATTTTTGAGGGGGAATGGTATCAGTCAGGAAACGTAGGAAATTTTGATATCAATACTAGGGATATTTAAAAAAAGTAGTTTGGCATTCCTGTATCCGTGGCATATGTGATAATCGTAGACGGTAGCCGCCACAGTCACTAGGCTCGTTTTTTATCGTCGCCATTCCGCGGTCTGTGTGTCTGCTTGTAAGACGCACGTTCAGTTTTTGGTCGGCAACAGGTAGTATATTATCGTAGCAGACGATCCATACATCAACCTTTTCGTCATCGTCATTATCACCGTTGTCACTGGTGAGTATATTATTATATCATTATTGTACTATATCAGTTATACAAAATAAATTGATAGATGTAATTAGGTATTAACTGTATTTTTTTAAAAATGTTGTTTTGAATTTAGGTAGTTATAATAATTTATGTTCTGATGATTGTAAATTATATATTAAAAGCGAAAAAAAATATAACGTTGATTAGAATAAAAGTTTAATACTTATCAAATGGTTAGTTAAGCGGAAGCATGTGATGTCTCCGTCTTACACAAGTACGATATAGAAAAAATGTGTCAATATTTCTGATGGCAAGTTGTTGCTTTTTTTTCATTAGGTATACCCAATATAACATTTATTATATAGTTTAGAAATAGAAAAATTTTAACATTTTTAAAATAGGTACCTTTAACGTTTCAAAATTTTTATTTTTTAAAAAAACTCCAAATAAATATTGTCATCTTTTAATTCTGTAACAGGTGTTTTTATTCTATCATCAAAATTGACTGAGTTCTATACTCGGACTGCGTAAACGCATTTTTCCATGTCATACCTGTAAAACGGAGACAACACATGCAGGTGGGACTACATTGTTACTAAGGCTGGAATACGATAACGCGCAGTCCATATCAGCGGTAGGTACCTTTACGATTGCTTGCGCGAAATTATTTTTACTTCTAAGCAACATTGCCAAGTATACAGATAACAATATATGCACGGCAAATATATAATTATATAATTTACTTAAGTATTTAGCCATAATTGGAAATCGGTATTGGGGTTTGAAAATTAAAATTTATTGTATTTATCTATTCGAATATTTTCTATTATTTTATTATAACGATTTTTTTTAATGAATATTTTTTTATTTATAATTATAATTATTTTACTTTATGAGGTAGACTGAGTGTAAATATAAAGTATCTGTTTTATTTTGTGTTATAGATTTAACGATATTTTTTTATAATAATAATAATTATTTTACATTTTAATAATAATTTGGCAACGTTGCATCCAATTTCACACACAATTGTACGCCTTTGAACAGTCAAAACCATGTTCTTATTGTTATTTCGGCACTGCTCGCAATCGTAGGTACTCCACCGGTTACTACAGCCTGCATGTTTTCTTTTACTAGGTAAGAATTTTGTTTTTTATTGCTCGTAATTCAAAAACCAGTAGGTAACTGTTAAGTCTTAAAATATTCCCAAAATATTTATATAAAAGTTTTCTAGACGTGATATACGTAATTTTCAAAATATTTTGGCTCTTTTTGCCGAATTATGTAGATGATGACGAATTTTGTCAAAATTTGAACTTCAAACGCTAAGGTACGATATCCAAGCCACGGCCATACCATACTGCTCACTGACGAGTATACAGTCGCCGGCCGCAGCGGCTATAATTTTGTTCCATAGCAGAACAGTCGTTACATCCCATCTGACCCATCTGGCCAGTCTGCCTCTGCGTATACTCAACTAATAACAATATAAATATATAATAAAATATCATTAGAATTATTGTCTAAAGTCTAAACTGTCTCAGAATTGTTTTTCGTATAACAATCGTATCATATCATTGAATTCAGATTTAAGTTAAATACCTACTTCCCGTCATCCATTACACATTTACACTATTACAGTAACCTACTTGGCACGTAGGTGGTTAGGTACTAATGACGAGGTACACTCGACATCTAATATACAGCGAAACGACCTTCCCTGATTTTATTTTAATGAAGAATTAATCTTAAAAAAAAATTGTATTATTTATTTTTATAATTCAACGAAATTTTTGATATTTTGTAGACACTAGATATAATATTTATTTTTTTGTTTAGTAATATGTTCATAGTTGGAAAAGATTTAAAAACGGTCGTAAAATATTTTAGTCTATCTGAGTTCCTGAGTTCGCTATGTAAACTGTTGGTATGATTTGATTTTAATTTCGTTTAAACATTTTGTACACATTTGTGTGATACAATTAACGAATTCATTCTCAGTTTTTTTTTTTGTTTATTATAAGAAAAAAATATATTATACAGGTGTTATAGGTATTTATAAATACGTTAATTAATAACACATTAAAATAACTCATTAGTCATTAATGAATTTTTTTTGTTGAAACATTTTTTAATAACTTGACGTCGAACCCGCATGTGATGTCTTCGTCTTACACACGGCATACCAAATTTTCGCTCACCAATTTCAACAGCGTACCTACTGTTAGTTTTGATATTAGAGTGGATTTCGTTGGTTTTTTACGATACTTAAATTTTTTAGCGAATTATGAGAATTTTAAATCAATATTAATGTCCCACTCATAACACTTAAAAATTTAAATACCGTAAAAAAACCAACGAATGAACACAGATAATGTTATTACCTACTTAAAAGTTTGATAATCGGTAAATTCACTCTAATATCAAAACTGACAGCACAGTATTGAAACTAGCGAACGAATATTTGTTATGTCGTATAATAATATGGGTAAGACGGAGACAACACATGCGCGTGCGACGTCCTCTTAAGTCTTAATAATGATATTATAATGAATCATTAACGTACAATATTATTATGATGCCTTCAATAATTATCAGATAACTTATTATAATCTTAGTTATAGTTATTGTTGCTATTTTATATTGTATATAATTGTAATGTTGGTGTTAATATTTTTTATAACACAATTAATTAAGATGTACGTAGGTACATCTATTTTCTTAAAAAAATACCGATGAACTCCTCATGGTTATTGTTTAAAAATATGCACTTACACATTACAACATTTTAAATAAGCACAAACATAATTACCGTAGATACCAAATGTTTATATGAGTATTTTATTCCATGCCTTAGTAAGTTAACGATAATTTATTTTGAATCGAGTTAAGTTAATTTAATAGAAAACATTTTTAAAAGTTTAAAGTTAATGGTTATTATAATTTTTTTCAACTCAGTTAGGTACATTAAAAGTTATATGGAAACTTACAATTAACTTATTAACTTAAGTTCGGTTATTATTTTTATTTTTTTAATATATCGAAAAACGAGTAATATAATTTAAAATAATAATGACTAAAATGTAAATGTTTATGCTACATGAAGTTAATGAAAATAAAATTTAAAAAAGGTTGACAAGTGGGTATTGCTCTGCTGTACAGTACTAGTTGTCAAGCATGCAGTGTCGGCCTGGCCATGGCCGCTAGGCCGCAAACGCGTCCGGGGCCCTCGGCCGTATTTGTGTTCGGGGGCCCCCGCCCCCGATCGTACTCAGAAATATAAATAAGTGTTCAGATGAAGTTAGAATTATAACACCTTACACAAAATTTAAGTCAAATGCTTATTCTATTATAGATACTATTCTTAATAGCATAAAATCACGATTTGTACCTAATGAAATGTTATTAAAATTGGCTGGATCCTAAAACATTTGCTTTTATTAATGAACCGGAACAATTTCCCAAGGATTCGTTGAACACAATATGTAAACTAGCAGATTTAGACAAAGAGATCATTGCAATTGAGCTAAAACAGTTTGCTTGTCAGTATAGTAATTTCATACCAGATGTATCTGAAAATGATTTTCACGATATTAAATCTAAATCTTCTAAAATTATATATATTGATGAAGATGAAGATATTGAAGTTAAACCCACTGAACAAATTAAATGTGACAAATGCACTAAATGTCTTCACTGTGCATTGATTTTGCTCCAAGAGCTGTCATGTCAATCTAATTTATTTTGTAATTTGTTCACATTATATAAATTTGAGTTGCTATTACCATCAACACAGACTACCTGTGAAAGAGTATTTTCAAAGCTGAAAATAATCAAAACTAAACTTCGGTCTTCTCTACCCCAAGAACATCTTAATCCATTAATGCTAATGTCCATTGAAAAGGATATTTTGATTGACTCAGATGAGTTGATTGATACGATTGCTAACTCATCTAGTGAACTAAAAAAATTACTGATATAAAGAAAACCAAATGCACAATTAATTTTGAATTTGAATCACATTAAAAAAAATATTAAGTTGTATAATGTGAGAAGGTATTATTTATATTATGTAATATGTAAAAAATTGTTTAGAATAATAAATTATTAATCTAACTTAAATCTTAACTTAATGGATGGTTAATTTTATTTATGGTACCTTTAAAAAATTATAATATTTTACACTACCTACTTATAAGTACATTTTTAATAATTTTATGAAAAAACATTTTTGGGGGCCCTTCTGAAGAAATGCATCCGGGGCCCTTTAGGTACCAGGCCGACACTGCAAGCATGTCATTGTAACTTGTAATACATATGTTATATTTGTCCAGTAGTTTTTGAATATATACGTTACAAACATAAAAATTTTTCCACTTTATAATATTAGTATATAGATATACGTAGATATAGATATAGAAATACAAAAAAAGCTAAAAATAGTAAAAATAAAAAGGTTGACAAATGGGTACCGCTAAACTATACAGTAGTTGTCGACAAATTCAATTTTAATACTATCCATTATACAGTGACCCACTTGTAACCTACTGTACAGCAAAGTGATATCAACTTACTCATCTTTTTTTAAATTGTTTACTGTCTATCATTTTATACTATTTTTTATTACATGTATTTTTATATTACAAAATATATATAATACCTACTATACTGTAATAGGTATCTATTATATATTTATATGTATAATTGCAAATATCAAAATTTTTTTTAGAATTTTATATGTATTTACGTTTTATGCTGCTTATAATAATTATAGTTATTGTATTTATTATTTTACTAAACATATTATTATTATTTAAATATTTATTTCCCCTATTTTACAGGTTAATGTTATAATCTTGTATCTATATAACAATATGTAATAGCAACTGATATTATTGGTTGGGCAACTGGTGAATTATGCTCTAGGATCTAGGTAGTTGGTATCGGCATAACTAGGGGGGCTTAGTCCCCTCGTACTTGAGGTTTTACTTTTTAGCCCCTCCTTAGGCTTGTAGTTAGAACCAAATCGTTACAAAAAAAAAAAAAATGTGTAAAATAATAGATTATTATATTATAAAATATAATATAATAAAATTGACTTTGTGTACAGTGTAGGTACGAATTTATCGTAATTGGTCATAGTTAGTAGCGGTAGAAATGTGTTTATGTGTTTAAGGTGTAAATTGTATCTGCTTATTGCATATTATTAGCTTCAAGCTTACCTATATAACGCCCCTATTATATATAATATTAATATATTATTTTATTACCATTAAATAGGTGCCCGTGAACCGTATTGGTCTTATAATATTAGTTGTATCCACGGACTAAGATAATATAATCTTAGTCCGTGGTTGTATCGCACATTCGTACAGTGGTTGAAATAAGGTTGAATACTCTTATATAATCATTTTATTTTCCAATTCTCAGTTCTCAATTTACTGTGCGTCTGTGGCACTCTCTGTGGAAACTGCAAAGTTGGTTAGGTTAGGTACTATTACAGATTGTCACAGCTGTTATTTTTATTTTTGAGTAAGTATACGGTATATGTAAATACTTTAGATTTTATTGTATACAATTGTCAATTATCAAATGTTCAGTATATTCAAATTAAAAAAATCAAGTAGTGTTATGAACGAAGATAACCCAACAAAATTATGGTTTATATTAAATTTTGGTTTTAGCGGACTTTTTGTAACAATAAATTAAAATGAATCTTATATTGGTGGTGTGGGGGGCTTTCCCCCCACGTGTTAATTACACTTTGGTTTTGTAGGACTCTAGCCCCTGTAACTATTCAATCCTAGTTACGACCATACTAGTTGGGGGGGGGGTGGAGAATTGGTATATAAAGAGGTACTTGTGAGGGAAACTGGTTGCCCTTTTTAACGACCCTTTTGTAATATTAGCATTATACAGTTGTTACTAACTATAATGATTATTATTGTATTGATATTGTATTAATATAAAAATAATAAGAACTTAATACATTTATTATACTAAAAAAAGTAAAAAATATTACCAGCTATTTTATTTGATGTATTGATTGATGACCCTCCAGGTTGAGAATCGCTGATCTATACTATCCAGTACTCACTACTGACCATTAAGTGAAATATCCTATTGAGTTATTGGCGAATCACTTTACAGTTAAACAGAATGCAGCGTGCTGAAGACGATGAGAACGACGAGGTAACATTAATACATTAATATTACTCTTCTTTGAAATAAAGCAATAAGAATTTTAGGTTTTTTTAAAAAGTATGAATGTGTTGATTTTACAATGATGTGTGTTTTTTTAATTATTTTAGATTCTGAGTGAAACGATGAATGTATTGATTTTACAATGATGTGTGTTTTTTTATTTTTTTTTTATTTTTTTTATTTTTTTTTAATTTTTTTATTTTTTTTTGTGTCTGTCATCACGTTTTAGGACAGTAAAAGTGCTTGGATTTTCTTCATCAGTAGCTTTTCTGATAGGAAAGTGAATCTAGTTGGTACTTTGGGGGGGTCAAAAGTATAAATTTCCCAGTAGTTTTCACAAGCGCCGGGAAAAACAACATAAAAATTAAGGAAAAACGGGAATTTTTACGCAAAATTGGTTTTCCAAAAAATCGATTTTGGTTTTTGGTGTAACTCTGAAACAAATGAACGTATATACATGAAATTTTCACTGGTTGTTTATATTTGCATTTTCTATACACGATAACATTTTCAAAATATTTTGATTTATTTTGAACTGTTAAGGGACATTTTCATTTCCCATTTTTTTTTAGTTTTTTTTCTAAAAATATCAATAAAATTGTATTTGTTGGTTGCGAAAGCTTGAAAATTTAATAGAAGGCTCCTAATATATTGCTTCAAAGGCAGATGAAAAATATTAAAAATCCTTAGTCACAATTTTTTTTTATAAGCATTTAAAGTTCAAAAATTGACAAAATATGGGAAAATCACGAAAATTAGCAAATTATTTTGAGTTAAGAATTCGTAAAAATTTTTCTTTTTAAATCTAAGATTTGAAAATTAAACACAAGATTCCTTATAAGTTTGTCTACCTTTATCAAAAGAAAAATGTTTATAAGAAAGTCAAATTAAATTTTTATGAGCGTTTGAAATTCAAATTTTTACAACATTGAATATTCACTCGATTTCCCATGTAGCGATTTCCTTATTTTGTTGTAATTCAAAAATAAATAACTGTAGATACATGAAAATTTCACTGAATGTTTAAATTAGCATTTTCTATATACCATACAATTTTGAAAATATTTTGACTCTTTTTGAGCTGTTTATGGACATTTACAGCTTTCAATTTTTTTTAGTTTTTTTTTCTATAAATATCAATAAAGTTTTATCTGTTGGGCCAAAAAGTGTAAAAATTTAATACAAGGCTCCTGATATATTGTTATAATATCAGTTGAAAAATATTAAAAATACATAGGCACAGTTTTTTTTTATAAGCATTTAAAGATCAAATTTTGACAAAATTTATCAAAATCTCGAAAATTATCAATCATTGTAATTAATAAATTATAAAATGTTCAGTTTTTATAGCTAAGGATTGCAAATTCAACACAAAGGTTCTCGTAAATAGTTCATACTGTAACCAAAAAATCTAAAAAATATATGAACACAGTTATTTTTTACAGACATTTTAAATTCAAATTTGGACGAAATTACATATTAAGAAACCTAGAATAAATATTTTAGTTATTTTGTTGTGATTGTATCAGTGGCGCAACCAGGGGGGGGGGGGGTTTGGGGGTTGTGACCCTCCCCGAAATTTTTCTGATGTTTTTACAAATTCTACGTAGGAAAAAACCTAATGGATATTTTGATATGATTAATTTGGAATTTATTATAGGTACCCATTATAGGTCAATTTTTTGTTTAATACCATAGATATGTATATAATATGTCTTATACATAGACTGACATACCGTCTGCGCTCAGAATCGTTTTTCTTATACAATGATATTATATCGTTGAATTCAAATTTAATATCATCCATTATACAGTGACCCACTTGTAACCTACTGTACAGCAGAGCGACACCCACTTGCCCACCTTTTTTTATTTACTTTTTATTTATTTTTGTGTCTGTCATCACCTTTTAGGACAGTAAAAGTGCTTGGATTTTCTTCAACAGTATCTTTTCTGATAAGAAAGTGAATCTAGTTGGTACTTTGGGGGGTCAAAAGTAAAAATTTCCCAGTAGTTTTTAAAAGCGACGTAAAAAACAAAAGAAAAATTAAGGAAAAACGGGAATTTTTACGCAAAATCTGTTTTCGAGAAAAATATCGATTTCGGTTTTTGGCTTAACTCTAAAACAAATGACGGTAGATACATGAAATTTTTACTAACTGTTTATATTAGTATTTTCTATACACCGTGCCTTTTTTTAAATATTTGGACACAGTTTATTTTTATATTCATTTTAAGTTCAAATTTGGACAAAATTACATAATAAAAATCTAGAATAATTGTTTTGTTATTTTGTTGTGATTATTTAAATATTATTCGTGGGTAATTTTAAATCTTCTAAAGTACACTATTATATTATATCTATGATAGTATCAGGGTTTGTTGTTGATGTAAAACTCGTTATAAGTACCTAATGGATATTGTATATGATTAATTTGGAATTTATTATAGGTACCTACGTCCTATCTATTATAGATCAATTTTTTTTAATACCATAGATATGTATATAATATGTCTTACTGACATACCGTCTCAGCTCAGAATTGTTGTTCTTATATCATTGATGTCAAAATTAATACCATCCATTATACAGTGACCCACTTGTAACCTACTGTACAGCAGAGCACCATTTTTTAAAAACTTTTAACCACAAAAATGTTTTTAAATTTAAATTCTTATAAAAAAAAATTATGTTTATTCATCTTACTAATATTATAAACGCGAAAATTTGTATGTTTGTGATTCTTTCACGTAAGAACTACTGAATGGATTTTAATGAAACTTTACAATAATATAGCTTATACGCCAGAGTAACACATAGGCTACAAATCACCCCCTAGGTCCAACCAGGGTATGTGCTCAAACGGGGATTTAGAGATGAACGGTGGACATTTTTGTTTATAAATGGTCGCCATGGGTTTTACAGCTATTATAATAATAATTATTGGTTGCCATGAAATCACTGTGTTCATCCGATGCATTTAATTTTTTTGTACCCTGTGTTTTGATATTATATGTATCGCAATTCGCAATTACGTAAATATTGAGCGTATTATACTCACGTATAAGTTACCTACATAAAACAATGCCACGTCTTCGTGGATGAGGAGGAAATATTGGTCAACAGACTTGGCATTCACAATTAGTCCAGCCGTTTAGAAGGAGTTTAGTGACATACTTGGTATAACTGTGATACTTTAGAGTTAAATTATAAAATTACGTACAAACAGCACGGGGTCCTCGATCTACAGCAGATAGATTCCAACCTGATAATATAGTACTGCTGCGGATCACAATTTTTATCCCAGGCAACAGAAGAGTTAAGATAAATTTTGAACACCATACACCGAGTATCAAATAACGAATTGAACAAAGTTTGAGTCATATAGAGTTGGTCCATTTAACGGGAAACAAAGTGTACGGGATTAGCTAGTGTTTAATATTTTTCAACTGCTCAACCGAGAGACATCGAGAAAATATCTCATGAATATTTAATTTGACTTACCTGTAGATATTATTTTTTTTTTTTGATAAAGGTTGACACACATATGAGGAATCTTGTATTCAATTTTTAAATCTAAGAATCTTAGAAAAAAAAATTAGGAATTTCTAACTCAAAATAATTTGCACATTTTCGTGATTTTTACGTATTTTTTCAAAATTAGAACTTTAAATGCTTATAAAAAAAATTGTGATTATGTATTTTTAATATTTTTTAACTGCCTTTGTAACAATATATTAGGAGCCTCGTATTCAATTTCAAAGCTTTTTGACCGAACGAATAAAATTATATTGACATTTATAGTAAACAATGCTAAATAAATTGGAAACTGAAAATGTTATTAAACAGTAGGTCAAAGAGAGTCAAAATAGTTTTAAGGTTTAATCGTGTTCGTGTATAAAAATATTAATATAAATATTTAGAGACAATTTCATGTATCTATGGTCATTAATTTTAGAGTTAGGTACACCAAAACCCAAAATCGATTTTGTTGAAAATTTATGTTTTTTTTTCCTGCGCTTATATAAACTACTGGGAATGTTAACCTGATCAAATCACCGACTAGATTCACTTTCTCACCAAACAAGATACTGAAGTTTAAAATCGAATCATTATTTCGGCTACTTATCGTGTACACAGACACAAATAATAAAAATAAAAATAAAAAAGTAGGTCAATTGTGTACCGCTCTACATTACAGTCGAGCTTGTCGCTGTAATAGCTGATTTAGCATTGCTTTTAAATATGGTGTAGAATAGTATCAAATATAAACTATTCTGTGTTAACCTGTTGCTTGTAGGTTTTATATATTTATTCCTTTTTTTTTGTCCTCGTTTTATATAATATACAATAAATTTATACTTATTATATTTAACAAGTAAAAAAATATAATTTAATACGTTCGATAAATGATAACACTGACATTTAAATATCTTAAATATATTAATTTTTAATTTTTGGTTTATCGTAGACTAGCAGTTTCAGTGGTCGTGCTGATAATAATAACGATACTAAGGCTGAAGTCAGCAATATGAAAAAGCAACCGAGGTGTACCGAGAACGGCGTTGAGGTAAACATGAAAGAGGAAATTGATAAGCTGAGAGCGGAACACGAGGCGATGGTTTTGAATTTACAATTGGATCACGATGCGGAGGTAAGGAATATACACATATTCTACGAGTCAAGGATTGGTGAACTGCAAATTAATCATGGGATGACAGTCGATAACCTACAAAGAGATCATGAGTCATTAGTCTTCCATTTGCGAAGTTTAAATTTTGAACAGGGAATACGCCAAGAAGCCGCGCTGAGAAGCATGCGCGACCTTAAGGACAAGATGCGTAGAGATCATGACGAAGAAGTGCAGCGTATGCGCTTACAATATGATAATTTGGTCAGAAAGTACACAATTGAGATTAATAGTTTAGTTGAAGAAAACAAACTACTCTGCTCCGAGCACGAGAGTGTGCTTCGAGCTTTGCATGGGACAACCCAAGTTTTTAAAGAAAATATGAAGAGCTCAACGAATAGTAATATTCTGGCTGAAAGTGGTGCCATGATAAAGCGTTTGCAGAGTATGTACAAAAATTCTTCACTGGAATTATCAAGCACATACCCCGAGCAAAATGGAACTGAAGTCGAGGGACTTCAGCTTACCGAGGAGGCTACCATTATAGCAGCAGTAAGTGCCTATAATATTATAATGTATGTGTATAGCGTGCAGTACGTTGAGGCTTAAGTATTTAATAATGTACCTACCTATGAACATGTTTAATAATTAAAATAAATAAATTCGAATTTTCTCTGTTTTATCAGCAGCTGCAGACAATCGACGGCGTCGGTCACGAAGATTCCGATGCCGACACCACAACGAGCAGTATCGGTGACGACGGCGTCGACACCACAACGAGCACTATCGCTGATGACGACGCCGTAGACATGGTAAAGTCACAAGACACTATGGTACAAAAAACTGTAGAAGATTGTCAGAAGTTATTTTATGATACGGTACGTATGTAGGTACTTTAAAATTTTAAATCATGTACTATAAGTGTAGACATAGTTTATGTCTTTGTATTAGATTTTAATGCCACAATAATTGAAGAGCCTTGGTTATTAGTTATTACTGAGCGAATGACTGGTAAACCTTACCGCAAACAGAATTATGCGCATACTCACATACAGTCGGGCTTTAGAACTTATGTATTCATTATGGCATCGATAATTAGCTTGATGGCTACAACCAGTAGTGCATGATCTATGGTGTGTACAGCATACATTATACTTTAGTACTACGCATAAGCGAAAATTGAAAATGTTGTTAGCCGTTAGGACAGGCCAAATTATGAATAGGAAAAGAATTCTTATAACAAAATAAGTTTTTAATTTTACTTGAAATTCTATTAAGTCGGTATGTTATCCGGTCAGTATTAGGCCAGGCCATGGTCTGACTGGCCTGAATAGTAATTTCGACTATACTTTCGTCATAGCATTAGGTCTAATGAATTACATTTTTCGATAATGGTGCAGTGGGGACCGTTGCATAAGTACCTAACACACAAAATAAAATTAGAAAATGTTCTTATAATTTTTAACTTATTTATGGTAGTATAAAATGTCTTAAATTTGTGTAGGCACAAAAGCTGAGCCTGTTTCAAGGGTATGTTTTCAGCAAGGAATCAAATTTTTCGCCTCAGACGGACTACCTACAGCAACAGCTGGATGACTTTGAAGAAGACGCCCATAGTCCACAAAACAGTCATGACAACAGTAAATATAAAGACCAGGACTCCGAGGACGAAAATTATGCTGTCGCAGTGGCGGTTAAATTATTATCTAACAGTAAATAGTAATTAAATTATAGTAATTTTGGTACATAGGTATAGTCTGTTCAGAATGAGATCGGTACGGGGGGCAAATAGTGTGCGTGGGCGTGGCGCCGTAGCTGACAACGTCTGACCGCCGCCCGACGAAAACTGGTCGCCGCCGTGTACCGATCTTATTCTGAACAGACAGTTAATTATTTGCCTTATGTATTACTTGCATAAGTTGCGCTGTAATTTTATACTCATGTTGTAATGTGCCATTCAATTTATTATTTACTTAAATTGTTATATATATTAATATTATTTGCTTTCAGTTATGATATGTCTCCTATTCTCGTTTAGTTATTGTTTATTTTTGCTATTATTTTTGTGTACATTACAATATTACGATTAGGTACTTTTTTTTTTATATTTGTTACTATTTATTATTTAATATATAATAAATTATACTATGAGTGAAACTTTTATTTTTATTGAAAAACTTGAGATGTACAATGAACAACTCTCAATCAGCATTACATTTTGTACATGAAAAATATACTGTTTAATGTTTATCTTGAAGGCAGAACGCTTAATCTAGTGTGTCAGCTGTATTGTTTTAATAACAATCAATTACTTTTTTTTTTAAATTTAATAGCGTTTGTCACAATATATTTGGTGTCTTAAACAATTAGTTCGTGGAGATATTTCAGGACAAGTGGTCAACGCATAATGCTTTTTACAAATCTACGAGCCAGCCCAATTAAAAGGTACATATTCAATTAGTAAATTAATTTTTTGCTTGTTCAGCTATGGATATCATTAGTAGGAATGCATTGATTATTTGTAAACCAATGTAAGTATCACAAAATATTATATTGTGTGGCAAGGGCGGGAAGTTAGCTATTTCAGTCGCTGGCGATGTGTGTGGCACGAGCCGCAGGCGAGGGACCCATTACGACCTAGACTTAAATTGCATTCCCGCGCGAGCCACACATACTATTTTTTTGTCACGCCTCTGTTTTCATCGATTACGGCAAAGGTGATGCAGGGATCTATGCAAAAACGATATTTCATGAAAGTAACGATTTGGTTTTATTTATTTTAAGCTTCATGCGTGGAGGTTATAATATTAATATAAGATATAGGTAACCAAAAGTGTAAGTTTGGTTCAACCGTTGTATGGATTTCAATATAAATAATAATTATTATATAAAAATAAAATAAGAATAAAAAAATGTAATCACAGCAAAGGTAATTCACTATATTATGCAGGGATCTGCGCATGGACTTATAGAAATATAAGGAACATTAGGTATGATTACGCGTGCAATTTTAGAGCTTGTTACGACTTACGAGGATTGGCTGTCCCCGGAACAGTGCCGTTTCTCTCACTCTTGTGATAAAACTCATGCTATCTCTCCTAATCCGTTTGGCACGACCACACTTCCCAGTCCTCGGGACAAATATCCCCAGTGTCGGCCTGGCACACCAAAAGCCCATGGATCAGATTTTTAAGGGGCCCCCCAAAAAATGTATTTTTAGCAATATGGGTTATAATATAAAACTCACTTTTATTATAATTATTAATAAACTATTATATAATTTAGTAAATATATAGATAATAATCATGAGCTAACTTAAATATAAAAGTAACTTTAAAACTATTTATTTTTAAACAATAAGAATTCTTCAAATAATAAAATACAATTCTTATAATATGAGCAATTTTTTTTAATTCATTAGATGAATAAGCAATCGTCTCAATAAAATTTTGAGTATCAATAGCTATATTGCTTTCTATAGCCATCAACACTAATGGGTTAAGATGATTTTGGTGTAATGTTGAGCGAAGTTTTGTGTTTATACATTTGAGCTTCGAAAATACCCTTCACAAGTTGTTTGAGTTGATGGCAATTACATAGCCATCAACAAATGACAAATAAATTTGACTGACATGATAATTCTCGTACAATTAAAAACGCGCAATGAATACATTTGTTGCATTTATTACAATTTATTGTTTTCGATATTTCATCATTATCTTCATCACTTGAAAACTTTTTTTCTGACTCACAACCGGTAGCAATCGTAACATATTTAGATATTTGTGGTATAAAGTTTTCATATTGACTGGAAAATTGTTTCAATTCTTCTACGATTACTTCCTGATTCAATCCCGACATCTTACACAAAGTACTCAAAGTCAATTCAGGCAATACTTTAATGTTGTTAAATACTGTAAAACTTCTGGGGTCCAACCAGTTCAAGTCTTTTAATAAATTCTCATTTTTCATGAACCGTGACTCAATACTATTTTGAATAGTATCTATAATTAGAAAAGTACCACATTTAAATTTATTATATGGAGATATAGTTCTTGATTCATCACAACTTTTTTTTCCAGATAGTTTTTTTTTTTTTTGAAATACGTTTTCTAGGAAAATCTACCTCAATATTAATTAAATCTTCTTCACAAAAATTATTATTTATTTTTTTACAAAAATTTTGACATTTTTCATATAAATTCAATACATATTCATCAGTTCTTTTTTTCTCAATTTGTTTTTTTAAAGTAGCTATCATATTCCATGCTTGTAAATAATTTATAGTTTTAGTTTGTAGATAAATAGATACTGGAGTTGTGGCTGAATAATCAATAAATATCAAGCAATAAATTAGATATACATATTATTTCAAATCTTGACCAATTACTTATTAATGATTTAGCAATAAATTTGGATTGTGTATTGAAATTTCCATGACAAATTGTGGTTAAAAATGTTAATAAAGTTGCAAATTTGGTGTTTTAAACTTCTTTATCGGTTTTGAAGATATTCAAATTATATTTTTACTATAGAATTTAAACTTTGAAGACAAATACATAAGCCATAAACATAATATTATTTAAGTAAACTTCCAAAAGTAAATGTCTTATCTTCATCATTATTATATATATTATTTATATATATAAATTGATAAAGACATATAGACGTATAGTATTGTACATCATAGTATCATTATCATACATATTTTTATAGGCAATATTTCCATGATCGCTGAATTCAACAACGGGGCCCCTGCAGGGACGGGTAAACGGAGCCCTGATGCAGTCGTCCGAACTCCGAGCCATTGTTTTTGAAGTGAGAGATTAGAACTAACTTAACCTACAGTAGCGCAATTATTCCAAAAAAACTCCTTCTACTTGTTACAATGTTACTATTATAATTGTTACTTGACACTTGCACTAGTATGCACTACTCTCACACTATAGACAATAGGTAAGCATCTAATTATTGAACCAATTTTTAAGACCTTGACATTTTCCTTTACCCTGGACCCCAAAAATATGGGGCCCCCAAGAAAAAAAAACGGAGGGGCCCCGACACTGAATGTTCTGTCTATTTCTGTAAGTCAATGGGTTTATGCAACAGTTAAATTATTCTACGAACACAATTTTATGAAATAAAAATGTTTACGCGTCATGCAAGGAGCTGGTTATAATATGAATATAAGATGTAATCAAAAGTTTATGTTTTGTAAGGACCGTGGTATTGATTTCAGTGTTTGATTGTGCTGGGGATACGCATGATATGCGTGCCAAGCACTTTTAAGGATTTCCACTTTACCGCCCGGCCCTTTTGGGGACTTCCACTTAACCGCCAGCTGGACGGAGAAAGATTGCTTATCAACGCTTCAACCGTCATCGAATAATACACTTTCGGGGCAGATGTGACAAAAATATATCTAATTACACTCATTAACATATTTTTTAAAGATGGAATTTTGAAATCATATGTTTGACTCCAGAAAACAATGCCACAACTTATAAATTATCCTTGATGTACTAATAGCCATTAATAATAAAATATTATAAATCATACGTTTTATATTAACATTAAATTTATGATGCACATCACAAAAAACATAACAAATAATCTTACAATATTTGTTGAATTATAAATCTGATAATTCCATTTAAATTTACATTGTAGGTCATAGACACTTTTATTTATATTTTCTAAAATCACACAATTATTATTACAATTATTTTTAAATTAAATAAATACGTGCTTGTTTTATTAAATCTGAGCTAATAACTCAATGTTAATTTTAAAGTTAAGAGATTTTGATTAAATTAAGTGAAATTACAATAGGTAGGATGTTATTTAACTAATAATTTACATTTTAATACAAATCTTTAAAAGCTTTGTTTGTAATTGTATACAATTCATCTACCTTCGATATACTTATCATGAATTAAAATAGAACTTAGCAGTGTCATCAGTGTAATAAATTATTTCAGTATTAACACTAAATTTTAACAAACTATTTATATAGTATAACTATTTATAATGGTTATAATATTATAATATGATAGATACTGCTATATAAATATTTATTTATTTATAAACGGATAGGTCATAGGTAGCCTTTAGTAATAAGTAATAACTAATAAATAATAGTAGGTACAGTAAGTAAAATCTCAATTTGGCGATTATAACAGTTTTTTTTGTTTTTTTTGTATAATTGATTATGAAGCCCGGCAACTAAGGTCATTAGCTGTGTGTTTTTGGTTTGTAGTGGAAAAATTGAAAGATTTTAAACACGTGTGTTTTTGGTTTGGCAGATATTTTTATTGGGTAAACGTAGGTATCTGCCATACTTGGGTGGGGGATGGCGCAGGCGAAACATGATTTTCAGAAGCAATTGCTTCTGGTTTCTGGGGGGTATTGGTGGCCGGTGGGTCATAACTCATAACCTCATAAAGCCCACATACATGGTCAGTCTTTGAACTTTATTTTGGGTGCTAGCCAATCCCCGTATTTGAACATATGAGTATCGTATACATCAGTTGGAGTTGGGTGAGGTAGATCATAAATAATTTGTTTGCTTCCTTATGAATTAAAGTTACGCTACTTTATGGCGGCACTTCTCCGGACTTTCCTGAAGAAAAATTCCACCCAAGGCCGGGTTCGAACCGGCGTCGGTGCACGTCGCAACCTATGCCTTAGTCCACTCGACCACAACTAAAAAAAAAAATACTTATTTTAAAAAACGTAAATGGGAACCTATTTATAGGATCATTTGGGATCCAATTTACCAATTGTGCAAATTATATTTTGTTTCTTTTTTATATTTTGGGGCGGACTTCATAAGCACATATTATGTACCTATCGGTGGTGAAAAATTACAATAAGTACTAAACTTCCATCTCCCAAGACCGTAGCTTTGGTGGGAGGAGTTAGGGTTCTGACCCCGACCCTCCCATCCAAGATATTTTTCTTAAAATAAAATTGAATAATTTTAAATGTCTGTTAGTTGTTACATTTGAAATTTGTATATGTATAAATCTATCATTGTACCTCCAAATTGCTTGACCTTCACACCCATTGTAATGTACATTGTCAGACATGTCGATTAACGATTGATATAATGAAAGTCATTAACCCTATATGGCTAGACGAAAAGTCATTATAATACTTATTTTCGATTGTATTTTCTATTAAAACTCGTTTATGTCATTAATCGGTGACCTTCATATAAAACTAAATGAAATCTTAAGCTGCTTATGCCTATAAATAGCTTAGAAATATTCAAAGTTATTCGCAATTTGGCCATATGAATATTTGGTTAATATTTTAAGTGTCTATGGTTATTCGTTTTTGAGTTGCACCAAAAAAATAAATACATTTTGAAAAAAAAACTGGTTTTGAGTCAAAATTTCAGTTTTTCCTTAGTTTTTTTTGGATAATACCAACTAGATTCACACTTTCCCACCAAAAAGATGCTAAAATAGAAAATCAACTTATATTACTGCTCCAAAAGGTGATAAGACAAAAAAAAATGTTTTTTTATTTAAATAAAAACAAAAATTCATAAAATGAAAAAAATTGTATAAAATGATAGGTTAGGTACCTAGTAAACAATTTAGATATAGGTATTACCTATTAATATTTTGTATTGTAATATACTATTATGCATTATGTATCGTAATAATGACAAACATATTATATAAAATCTTAACTGCTAATATTTTTATTTTTATACTTATTTTAATTACTATTTTTTACTAATTTTTTTTTTCGTTCAGGTGAAACACTCAAGTATTAACACCAATACTTTATTATTTTTTAATTATTGTTACATGGTATTTACTATTAGGAAACGACCTTGACAATTAATATGCCATGACAACGACCTAGTTTGTAGGACTCCATGTTAAACATAATATTGTTGTCTACATTTTATTTATTGTCGTAAGTCGTAACAATTTTTTTTTTTAGAATTTGAATGAGGGTAATTGCATATTAAATTTATATTTAACTTACATTGAAAAATTCACATGTAAAGAAACCTCCTCTCGGAGAAGAATTCTTAACATCAACAATAACGCCATATTCAAGATAAATTAGGTTTTTTTTCCAGTATCAGCAATTGAACACAGCACATTCTTTGAAACCCAATCTGGAGACCAGTAAGTGATTAAAAATCTATTTGGATTCTTGAAATTTTTACCTATAATATTATACTATTAATAGTCATTTACAATACCTAACTAAAACCAAATTATTCGTGGAATGCCCGTATTTGATAGTAAAAATCTAAAGATTATTATTATTATTAATTATCCAACTAGGTCTAATGTAGCCAATGTGTATTTCTCGTAAAGCTCATTTCCAATACCCTTGCACCTTGATATCTGATTCTCCTTCCCAGGGCCGCATTTATTCCCATGGAGCGGCAATGGCGGTTGGTGACAACTGCCCCGGGGGCCAACATTTTTAGGTGCCAAAATTTGTTAATTTCTGAATTATTAAAGCTTTTAAAATTCAAATTATCTATATTATATTAATATATTATGTTGTTAGAAAATGCTATATTGTTATATTGTACCAAATGTGTATAGATTGTAATCATGAACATTTAATTGTAATTATATTTTAATAAAAAAAAAATGTTCATTATTGACAGTAATAACAATTATTTCCAGTGGCGTGGGTGGATATTAGACAAAGAGACGTTGTCTAGCCATTTAGGACACGGAAAAATAATAACAAAATACAAAATAATAGTGCCATCCGCCGCCACAATTCATGGTAGTACTTGTTACCACCGCGTATCAGATAAGACTAGATTGCTTTTTTTGCATGGCGTGTCCTACATACGAACCCAGAACCAGTTCTTTTAGGTTCGGTTCCAGTCCCTGGTAGTCCCTCGGCAGTTGTTATTGGTGAAATAAATATTATTATTATTGAAAAATGGAGAATAATCCGTTGTTCGTAATAATCATTAT